TTTCAAGTGCTCACTACACCACTATACTTCCTGGATGTATTGCCCCGTAAGTGCATCAGCCACCATCTGCGACGTATGCTGGATCTCCTCCATTGTGTCAAACTCTTAAACCTGAATTTTATTTTGGGGAAGGGGAGAAAGTCACATTGAGCCAAATCTAGTGAGTAAGCTGGATTATGGTGTCGTTGCTGCCAAAAAACTTTTTCCCGGAGACGCCACAGGAAGTTACAGTAGAACTCTGCATTCACAGTGGGACTCTTTAGGATGAATTCAACCCTGTGGATGAGTGTGCTCACAGTACAGTCCTTCCCTGACGTGCCTTTTTTGGTCTTGGAGACTGCAGGTTCCTCGTCTGCCTGACTGCTGATTGGTCTCTGGATAGACTCAACTCTTGTCACCAATGATGATCCTCAAGGTTAAGTCATCCTGGGCCTGTTGACGGAGATGGTCGCAGATTTGCTGCTTGTGCAGGTCCATGGAAAAATCGCAAATGTGCTCGTGCAAATGGTCACATAAGCGCATGCAACAAAGTTCCTGATGTTGGTTTCAAAACGCTGCCTGGAATCTTGACTCTCAAGAATTGTACCTGTTGCATACATATGACTGGGCCTTGCTCTGTTCATGCACGAGGGAACAGACGGAACTTTTTGATGGGACCTCATAACTGTCTTCATGTTTAATGGCTATTGATTTACAAACAGTTTGTTAAAACTAAACCTAACTAACTGACAACTGACTAACCACCATGCAGACTGACTGATGAACAGTTTAAAGCAGGCATAGTTTATAGTTTGTAATAAATATATGAAATGTCGTGGTCTCTTATTGTGATGAGCCTACCAAAGATTCTCATTCGAATCTGCAGCTCTGCTCACCTTTGTGAAGCTTTATAGCAAGTTTCAGCTCATTGTTCAGCTGTCTGGTCTGTAAATGTACCGTTTTAGTTCACTCTCACTGCTGTCACAACAAAACTTTTACTGCTTTCAGCAAAAAATACCAGCATTAAAACCGACTGTACATTACCTTTCCAGCCCCGAATGACAGACTGACACAGTTAACATGTAGCTGGTGAGAATGGTGAAGCACTTAGCAGCTAAAGAGCCCTTTCCCTCAGGGGTTAGTGCAGACCAAGGACAGAGCTACAAAAAAAAGAGTGAATATTGGTCTTACGTTTATCTGTTAGCCTACAACATGTCTCCAAATGAATTATTGTGTTGCTCTGTGACTGCTAGATGTGTAAATAGGCAAATGTTTGCGAACAAATACATCAGCTTCGTTTCAGTGGTTCTGTGCATGTAACCAACCAGCTGACTAACTGACCAAGAGGCTTCCTCGATTGACTAATTGACTGTCTGGCTGTCGTGCTGACTGTGTAATCAGAGAATGACTGTGTGTTTATAAAGCAGTCATAGCCGCGGTGACTGTCTGATTGACAGTCCTGCCTGGCAACTGTCTCCGTCCCTCCAGAGAGAGGCAGAGAACTGAGTGCTGTTAGCACTGAGCAGAGAAGACAGTTATTGATTTTCTACTTGTCTATTATTTTTGTTTTTCGCAGAGAAAAGACAAGCGAGTGAGATGTGTGTATGTGTGCTTGTATGTGCGTGTGTGTGTGCGTGCGTGCACATGTGCGTGCTTGCATGTGTGTGTGTGTGTGTCCTTGCTGCAGATGTATTTGCATGTGTGTCTTCTGCGTGCGTTGCCCATTAGCCCTTTAACTCTGGAAGTGTGAACATTCCCAGCTTGTGCACACTGTTGCTTCTGTGCTGTTGCCGTCCAGAGTTGATTCCCAGCCAACAAACACAACAATCTATCCACTGCTCACACTGCTCACTAATTGGATGGAGACTGGCAGGTGGAAGAAAACGTGTTTGTGTGTCTCGTGTGAACCAGTGTTTTTAGGTGTAATAAATCTAATCTGACCAGACATTTTTCCAGTGATAATGAAGTGAAATTGTTGGCAACTTTGCGCTTTTGCACCAACAGAGTGTAAAAATGAGTTCCAACTCATGTGAATACAACAAATCACATTATGGTAGGACCTCTCAGTGAAATTTCATTAACATATAAGGTTTACATTGTGGTGCGTAAATAGCCTTACATATGCAGAAATAAAACAGCATTTTACCATTTATGATGGTAGGATTTCTTGCAGTGCAGTTGTATTGCAATATTAGCTTCAGCTTGGTGTATCTTAATAAATTGGCAGCTGAGAGTATGTCTAAAATTCAGAGCAGACCTTGAGCTAGAATATTTGGCTGCCCTCCCTGTCCAAGGTGTTGTGCATAAAAAGCTTTTCCTGTCTTTAAATTATCCAAGTGTGGATGGCGGCAGTCCAAATTTGGACCTGGGGCACCAAATTGAACTGTGCGTACTGTGGGAGGTGCCAGGGGTCAGTTTGAAATTCAGGAACTACTTCATGCACTATGCATTAGGCATAATATTCCATCACGCTGCCGTGTATGAGTGTGGCAATACCCCCGTCGCCACATACTCCCACATGCGTGCACACACACACATGCACACACACACACACACACACACACACACACACACATACAGTGCATGCATAAACTCCTGCAGACATAAACAGCCACTGTCACACAAATAGTGAGTTTTCACGCACTCATGCAGACACACACTGTCCCCCTTTATATCTCAGGACGTGAGTGGAACAGTAAAGCTAAATCCCCTTGTCACATTTGCCGCTCATCTCCAATTCAAAGGCACAGGCTGCGATGCCCTGGGATGCACTTGGCAAGTGAACAGCTAACCTGCCCGCCAGCATATCTGCCTGCCAGCCGAGCACAGAGGTAGTTAGCATGCCAACTAGCCCACCCAGCAACCACAAGCTAATGCTTCACTAACCCTGTTTTGCCCTGTGCTCCTCCTGTGGCTGTGTGTTTGTGTTACGTGTATTGACACAAGAGGAGTTTAGATGTACCCTACAGTCAGCTGGCTTTCTAAAACACAATCAGCTATAAGTGTTACACTACATAGACGTGAAAAGGCAGAACTAAATAATCTTATCTCATTTTATAACAATGCCAAGTCACTTGGGAAGTATTTTGATACAAAAAAAATGGGAAGAAGGATGCTCCAGAGGAGCTATTGTTTTATCTCCTTTTAATCTGTGCAGTTTTGTTCCAAAATGAGGTATCCTCAAGTAATTAGGGATAGTGTGTAAGTGGACCTTATGCTCTTTAATTTATTTGGCAACTATTGAGTGCAGTAGCTCAAGAATATTTTTCTGCCTTTATGTGGATTTTGTGTGTGTGTGTGTGTGTTTGGAAATAAACTTCACCATCTGGTACAAAAAGTAAGAATCCAATAAGAAACCAATCCAAGGTGTCTACTCAGCCATCAGAACAATCTGCTTTCATCACATTTGAATGCAATTTTTTTTTTGTGTGTGTGTGTGTGTGTGTGTGTGTGTGTGTGTGTGTGTGTGTGTGTGTGTGTTTTCTTTTTTCACTTCGGTGACAACAGCCGTGTGTCACACAGAAACTGTGATGCAACTGTTTGGTGTTTCAAAGTGCTGTAGTTTGACTTTTAAATTCTTTGTAAAACCCCAAGGTCAGACTGAGTGTCTTAATGCTTTGCTATGTGCAGCAGATACTAGAAGACGAGCAAACAAGCAGAATAAAGTAGACATCATTAAAATATAGAACAGAGCAAAGTGACTGCTACAAAGAATGCAGATAATAGTCTGGTCAGCGATGAAGCTTAGTGCAAGGTAGTGGAAGGAAATTTTGAATTGGTCCTGATTTATTGTCAGCAGTCCAGTGATGTCAATAGTCTCACTGAAGTAAGTATATGTAACTGGAATCACATGTATAAAGGTGTTGTGTAGTACACCTATCCCTCCAACTGTTGCATAAGACACAGATATACGCCAACACACACCCCCTCAGCTTCTCTCCTCCACACCGCAGCCTCTGCAGACTACCTGCAGCTGAAGTGCTTCGTCTCAAAATTCTGGGGTTATTTTCTCAGGCAGACAAGTTTGTTTGAATTGTTACTTAGTCTGTTGCAGTTGTTGCGGCAGCGCAGCTATTCCACAAAAAAAAAAAAAAAACCTCACTCTGGTCGGGTTAGGAGAGTGGCCAAAATATGTCAAGTGTAGGTCTATTGTACCAATAAACCACTTCAGACCTTCCCTGCAGCTACTATGATTCACTGGATTAGAACTGTAGTGTGTGTGTGTGTGTTAGTGTGTTGTGTTAGTGTCTGTGTGTGTGTGTCTGTGTGTGCGTGCTTGCATGGCCATATTCGTGAGGACCACTTTGAGTTTTAGACCTTGGGAGAGGGATATTTTTGAGAAAGTGAGGACATTTTGCCAGTGTTGTACGCGTGTGTCTTGTCAAGTCCCTTAACAGTTGTCTTTCTTTGGTTCCATGTACTTCGACAACGGTTGCAGCAGCTACAGGCCAAAAATCTCCACAGACACCAACCTTTGTACAAGAGCCAGGCTAAACACATCCAACGCTCTATAGCCACCTTGTGTGACTCGGTTTTTATGTGTCATACCTTTTTCCATCCCTGTCACTTAAAGTTGTTGACCAGTTTGTTGATGACATGTTTAATAGTGTTTCGGTAGTTGACATCAAAAACTAAAATAAATTTGTTTCTTTTTTTTAAAAATGAAAATCTAATGAGCTATATCTCCAGGTAAGGAGGACAAAACCCTGCAGTCAGGGCCAGAGCTACAAAGGAACCATGCTAGTGTTCCCTGAGTCGCTGAGTTAAATTTCAGGAAAACAGGAGAAATGCTCAGCTTTCCTGTGGTGACACTTGGGTATTTAGGTGTCGTACTTCCTTGGTATTGTGGTTATGTGCAGTGTCACTGTTTGTGTTTACATGCAAGTGCCTGGATTTCCCCACGGTGCATCCTGGTTTCTCCTGAGTTTTCCCATGGGTTCTAGTCATTTAAATTTACAATTTGACATTTTCTCTTCTTCTTCTCTACCCTCCCCCCCTTTCTTGTCTGTCTTCTCTTCCAGGGCGCTCTGACGAATCACGGCTGAGAAACCCAAAGAAAGCAGGAGCGAGTGGAGAAGAGGAGAAGAAGTTGAAGAAACAGAGAGCATGTCAAATCCGTCCATTTTTCTCCCCCTCTCTGTCCTTCTCTTATCCATCCATCCATTTATTTAGCCACTGAATAACCCCCCCCCTCCTCTTTTCCATTCGCCATCCTTCTTGGTTTTTGAGTGTATTATCTTGACTTGTCACTCCAGAGTGTACAATGTGTTGATTTATTGTCAAGTTGTGCCAGCACACCCCTGCCGTCGCTGAAATAAATCCCAGTGATCCAGTGGTGATGAGACTGCAGGTTGTGTGTCTTTGTGGGTCTTGCGTATGTGTGTGTGTGTGTGTGCAGGGTGGTGGCGGATGGCTGTCTCTTGTCACGGCACGCTAATAATGCTTCCACTACTGAAAATGGGGTCGTGTGCACCCTTCTGACAATGCTGTGCAGGCCCAGGGGCTTGATTGTGTGCCGTGCTCATGGTTTCATTAAGAGAGAGAAGGGAAGGGAGAGTGAAGGAAATGAGGGATAAATGAAGTGGAGGACAGATGAATAGTGAAGTGTGCATTATTAATATGTGTGTGTATGTGTGTCCTTCTTTTTTTTTTTCTTCCTGGTATACCTAACCCGTGCGCGTCATCACATATAGGTGCTTGTGTGAATGTGCGAGCAACACACCGGACAGGGCACATATTGTCCCTGCTAGCTGTGTTTCCATGGTGACAGCAGGGGTTTGTGCTAGCAGCAAGGTGTGGAGGAACCTTCCAGATAACCCTGAAGGTCAGCACACTGAGCTACAGCTCACAGCACTACTCTGTACCTTTGCGCTTGTGTGTGTGCGCGACTGAAAGTGAGGGACTCAGTCAAGATGCATTTCCACTTATATATGGACATGGTTGGCCACCCTCGAAATGACAGAGGCTTGTTATCGCACGCACACAAACACACACACACAGACTCGCACAGCGGACACACACAGAATATTAATAGACTTATAACACACCCTTGTTTCCCGGATATAAGTGCACATTCGTACAAGTGGCAGTCGGTGCGTTGGGGGGGGCGTTTGTTAATGATAGCTGCAAGAGGTGATCTATTGATCAGTTTGACTCCCACTTGCCACCGCAGCATCGATCGTGACATAACACGCACAATGCAGCTGACCAATCCATACGATACGCGCTCCGTTATAGAAATCTAGTAAAGGGAAACGGTGCGATCAATGAAATGATAAAGAAATGGATTGTGGATTGTGTGACGTCTGTCGGTCCCGTTTTGTCCGTCAGTCGGTAAAAGCCTCCAACTCCGGCTGCACTTCGTCACCAGGGATTAGGCGGCTCTAACCCAACGGACATGAAGCGCATATTACCTATATTAAAGTCAGCACCATATTAGAGGTTTCAGCCAGTGACTCTCATATCCCTTCTCTCTCCCTGACATTTCTTTACAAATACCAGCCTCTATTCACTCTGTTATTGCCTTCTCCCATTCAACAATTCTCTGATTAAACAAGCTCCTGAAAAGCCTGGGCACTGCTATCTGCCATTTGGCTTTTATTAGAAAACCCACCCTCTTTAATTAAATTGGTTGAATTACAGAAATATCAGGGATATTTCGGCAATATATTGGATAAGAGAGCACAATGGGTGAAAAAAAAAATGGAAGAATGGGTTTTATGAGATGTTTTGAATGTGGTTTGGCGGTGAAATGAGATAAACACAATCTTGATAGCCGGGTGATGTTTGTTTTTTCAAGGAACTGAGGTTTGTTCGATCTGAATGAGTCTCATTATCGAATATACGTCACTGCTAGACTCGTTAATTTCTTCTTCTTCTTTTTTTTTTTTTGCCGATTTGCCTTAGAGACTCGATTTATTTTTCACTCCCTCGTTCTCTTCCAGCTCTATTTCTACCCCACACCTTCAGCGCCATGCCTTTCTTTTCCCGCCCTATAACTGTGGAAGGATGTGGGATTGAGGTTGCCGTGGAAACCAGCCCAGCTTTGATTGGGGTAGACAGCTGCATGGTGCAAGGTTAGAAGATGGCTGCTCACGCCTCACAATGCGCCACTATTGATTTCCAGTCGTTGCCAATTACTGGACCCAGTTGTGTCCGATGAGTTGCAGAAAATATGAAAAAGCAAGAGGATTGTGTCCATGTGTACGTTGTTTGGGGGGCGGGTGTTACTGTAATGCTCACTTTGAAGTCAACACAGAGTAATTGTCTCGCTTTTTCCACCTACGTGAGTGCATGTGTTTGTCTGTAAGGCAATTCTTTGAGCCGTTGCCATAGTTTTAACCTCAGACATCCTGTAGCTTGAGCTGGAGACAAGTTTGACAGTCATCCACGGAGCCTAATGTTATATGTTTTAGCAGCTCCGCACTCTCTCCTTTGTTCCGTTCTTGAAACGCTGTTTGTCGGCTGTTCTTTCTCATCCAGCTGAAGGGGGTGTCAGCAAATGAGAGACGGTGTCAGACTTTGACAAACTGCTGCCCTTTGTAAAGACTTAATGGGGATCAATTCAAGTAAAGTTAGACGCTTAGAATTCACATGCAGTCAAGATATAAAAAAAATAAAATAAAAAAATAACCGCTCTCACTTGCACACACATCCCCACGCATATACCTACTTCTTTCTGGAGTTCACCCAGCGCTGGAGTTATTTGCCACCCTCCCTGTTTCCCTCCTCTCTTTTCTTCTCTCTTCCCTCAGCCAACTTGGCATTGTATATGTGAGAAGTCGACAGTGAGCCTAATTGGAGCGTGTGGCTCCATCAATGACAGTCACCATTCTGTTTCTGCACGCAGCACACACTCACATGGAGTCCTTTAGCTAATTGAATAGTCTTTTATTAAACTGTGTTAATGTGAACTGAAACTGGCTGCTGGTGAATTAAATTAGACCCCCCACCCCCCACAACAACCATATGCATAAACACATGCAGCTCAGTGTAGCGGTAGGAATGAATGCGACCTCAGCGTGGAGGGAGGACGAGGAGAAGAAAATGGGGAGAGAAGGAGGTGAGGGTGTTGCTGTATTCATTGTAATGTTTGTGATTTAAAAGAATGTGATGGATGCGTAAAAGTCATAAACTGTTTATTAAAGATGGATGTAGCCACCATGACGTCACAGTCGCCCACTGGGTCCATGTGTTTGGTCGTCACCGTTTTGGTCTTTTGCAACCAGATATGATGAGCAAGTGGTGGATCTGGCTGAGAAGTCTAAGGCTACATTCAGACAGCAGGCTGAAGTGACTCAAATCCGATTTTTTTTGCCCCTATGCGACCTGCATCTGATCTTTTCCGACCTACACGTCATTGATACACGACAAATGTCACTATTCTGCGTTCAAGTAGGCGGGAGCAGGAAGAAAAACTTTAAAATCACAAGATGCGCTTCACCATTACCATCCCTGTTTACTTCACTGAGCACGGTCGCTGCGTGTGACGTTGTTGTGTCCTCTTCTGTGCATACAGGACACATTTGGGTCATATGAAGTTCACACAGGAGATCACATACAAGTCGCCTTCAATTGGAAATGTGAACAAACTTGGATTTCACAAAAAAAGTCTGAATTGAGCATTAAGTCCTGCAGTCTGAACATAGCCTAAGACGCTACGCTCACCCATTGGGTACCAACTTGTCAGTCACAACATTGCCACACCCCTGCTTTATTTTATTTATTTATTTTACTCCCTATTCATAATTTAGTAAATGAACACCATTCTGTATTTAAGCATATTTGAAACCAGCAATCTGGACCAGAAAGTCTTTAGAAAAATGTAAACTGAAGCAATAAATCAACTGAGAGATACTGCCGTTTTCTGACTGACTTCTACACTAGTCTGACTAGTTTTTGAGCTCATCACCTGCTGCCAACTACAAAGGGTGAGAAGTGACTTCCACATTAACTCCAGTACCTGCTTTCTGCAAAGGTTCGTGTGATGTAAATTTCGTCATCCACCCAAGTCCACAAGGGTCTGCGCAGACCATTGTGTAGCCCAAAATTTGTGACCACGGTCTGTCCGCACTCCAAGTGGTTCTTCAGACAAATTTTTGGAATGGAGAGACTATATGGGGAGAACCTCGGCCAACCATGCCTTTGTAAGTCATCATTTACAGAGCTGTAATTGAAGTAGTTGCTGCTTGACTTTGGAAGAGCTTTGTTTTTCCATGCTTTTCATCAGCGGAGCCCAAAAACAGTGACAAGTCCTGTTTTCTCCAGAAATCCTGTGCTGTGTTCACACACTGTTATACCTTGGGAACAATCACTGACACGGTGCTACAGTTCAACCTGTAAGTAGCTGCTGTTTCCTCTTGTTTTTTTCTTTGTTTAGTATGCGTGGAAATGCGACTGGAGCTGCTTTGGGAAAAGCTGCGTCCGCAGGCTGCCTATTGGCTCGCACACATGGACATAGAAAGCATGACTTGGCCATAAGGCTTCCTCTCTGGATGTAGGTTATGGGTTCTGCACTAGGTGTGCATTTCACGGGGCTTTCTTCTCACCTTCCGCTGTCTTAGTGTTACAAAACCTACTTCACAATGGGAAACAACAACAGCAACCTACAAGCTCTGATTGTGCAATAAGGCAGCCCTGGTAGTTTTTTTTCAGTCAGTTAGCCATTTTAACAACAGTGCTTTTGTTTCTACCCAAACAATTCCCCCCATTATGATTTTGAGGGGGTCGCCATTGTTGCATCCTGGCCTTTTTAAAAGCCAGTATGATTGTGATTAGTTAAAAGAAATACAAACAACTCACAGCATTTGTTGTTGTTCTACAGCAGAATGAGGCCACTAATTCAACACTGGTTTCCTTTTTCAGACCCATATACCACATCCATCTTTTGTGTACAGAATATTGGGAGAGCTCTATGAAAATGCTGTATCACATTGGGGCGCTGCTCTAGCTCACCTGCTTGAGCTGGTGTCCCATGTACAGGGCTACAGTCCTGATGTGGAGGTCGTGAGTTCAAATCCTGCTCATGGCCCTTTCTCACACGTCCTCCCCCCATTCTTCTCCCCCACTTTCCTGTCTCTCTCTCTCACTGCACTATTGAATAAAGGCACAAAGGCCAAAAAAAAATAAACGCTGTATCACCATAAAAAACAAAGTTACGTCAATCAGTTTGGATATATATGGAGTTCACCCAAATCCAGTGCTGGGAAACTTACTAAAAGAAACACTCCTAAGCTCCACATGTACATTTTCTATATAACAGCCAATAAAACCAGTGGTTTGGTATTTTGGTATTTACTGTCATCGGTACATCACTCCACAAATCCAGTCCTCAGAATGAAGCTGCAAGAGTCAGACAACCTACAGCTCTGAAGAAGACTTAAAACATAAAATTTGCAGATGCAGGTAACCAGCTGCCTTTCCACACCTCCAACACTTGCACCACACAAACATGTCCTGGACCAGTTTGTTGACTGAGTGCAAAGAGACCAAACTTCCCTATCAAATTTCCTGTAAAGTTAATATAATTACTAAATTCTCTATATTGTTATGCATAAATAATAAGCTGTTAGTGGCCAAAGAATAATGACCAACCAATAAAATTTCAGGCAGCTCAATTCACGACTATGTGGGGGGTAAAGGTTGTATACCAAGCTAGTCAGTTATGTCATCGTGGGTGTTTTTTTCTTCTGAAGGAAAACATAGCTATCTAAGGGGTAAGATGGGGAAAAGCACGACAAAGAAAAAAAAATCATGCATGTGGACTGGAAGATCAAACACAAAAAGAAAACAGTGTATGTCCTGCAAATATCTCTATGTCACATCTTATCATGTATGTTTGGCTCTTTATTCAACAGTAAGACTAAGAAGGAACAACAAAATACACACGGAACTGCAGTAACTTTTAATCTTGCAACGCTGTCGTGTTTTCTTTTGATTATATGTAGTAAAAGAAGTCTCAGTCAGTTAATACTTGATGCTCTCTGTGCTGAGAATACTGTGTCTAGTTGGCCCCTTGGGGAGAACCACTTTCTGTTTCATCCAGCATTCACAGACGGCGAGAAAGAATACAAAGGACAGTAGGGCTATTGAGACAGTGTCGAGATAACCAGAGGGTCCTGAAGCAGCAGGGGGCCTGACCCAAGTGTCTGGAGTGAAGCAGCATGTGACTGAGGGTGGAGCAGCTCAGAAACCTCATATGTGATACTGGAGGAGTAGGGGAACCTTGGAAGGGAGGGAACAAAAAAAAAAAAGAAAAACAGAAGGCTGCACAAGTCCAATGCATGAGTGAAGACAAAGGGAAAGAAACAAGAGAAAGAGGTCAAGGTTAGGGAGGACAATGTATTTCATATGGGAGCAGAGGGCAGATAGAGAGAGCGAGAGATGATGGTGGCAGAAGTTATAAAAGTGTAAGGAAGAGAAGGAGTGGGTAAGATAGTCCGGTAGAGGCAGCGCGGAGAAGATAGCTCCCTCCTTTCTGCATTATTATATTACACTGGTGGATAAAAAGAATCCGACATCCTCTAAAGTCATTACAGCCCAGTAAGGCTGGCTCAGAGGGCAGCGCAGCTCCTTAACCCCTCTCAGCACATGCCTGGATGTGTGTGCGTCGCTCTCGGAGGGTGATTGAATGGAAGAAAGAGCGCGCACAGGCCTGAAAGACCGATCAGGCCTGTTTATGTGTGTGTGTGTGTGTGTGTATGCGAGCACACACATTCACCAAACCAAAGTGGCACATCACTTAATCCTTCCCCAGTAACTAGGATAAGCCAGCAGCCTTATCTTTCCTTCTCCCCTCTCCTTCCTTCCCTCACTCTGTCTTTCCTCTGGAAACGATTGTCCCTTTTCCCATCATGCCCTCCGCACTCCCACTCCCTCTTTCAATCTTATTATTACCCTCCTCAGCCCCAGAGTTTAATGCCTCATTATTCTGTATTTAGGGCCCGGAATCTTCTCTTGCGCCAGCAGTAGGGGCTAACACGGATTCAACATTTCTTTGCTTTCTTTATTGCCAGGCTGTGCACAAGATTTGAGAGCAGCTTTCTGAGGGAGGAAGGATTTCGCCGCCATCGATAATCGTGCCACCAGCTCCTGGCAAGGTGTGATGTTGTGATATTGTGGCAGAAAGTGTCGCTACAACTACCCTAAAGAATGGAGCAGTGGGTCTAAGAGCATCTGAGGTTATGTCGGAAGGAAGGTGCTATAAATGTGCAGATTTTTTTTAAAGCATCAGACAGATTTGAAGATGTGGCCGAGTTTAATGCATAAGTAGCTTTCTGACCACCTGAATTCCTTCAGTTCAGCAGGTTTGTGTACATCACTTTCAGGGATTAAACCAGTAAAACTGATCCAGACAAATATATGTGCAGCCAGAGTCTAGATATAGATGAACCACAAAGTTCAATTTACTGTCATAATGCAACTTTTTATTTTGAGTCACTCACATGTACACCACCTTGCTGGTGTAAATATTGAAGCACTAAATTAACTGCCGAAAATAGTAATAAAACACTACGTACTCCTGTGTCAGAGACATTTGCTAAAAACTAGTTTCCAGCTATTTTGGGAAATCTTTTAGCTTTTAAAAAGAAGTGTATATATTTGTGGTGTGTGGCCCAAGATTTGTGTCTTCAGCAGTAACTAATGAGCTGACAGTGGGAAGTTGGAAAGTGTTCACAGATGGACTGATGCATTGTTGGTTTTGGTCTATTTATGGGATTTGTTGACAGAAAGAAAAACAAAGAATGTTGCCAGCCTCATCCTTTAAGGTCAACTGTGGGTCTGACTGTCTTCAAATTTAGCAGTAAAAATACCCTTCGACTCAAAATCAAATTAACTTTGCTTGCAGCCTTGTTTAAAAAAATATTTGAGTATGAAACTTGATACAGAGAAAGAAAACATATTCCTGCAGTCCTGCCTAATGAGTAGTTATTAAGCAACACATACCCATATGTGAAATAGAACTTATCAAATTTGAAGGAATTATCTTGATGACACAGTAATAACATGGACAGTTGTTTCTTCTAATCCATCCTGTTTCTTTTCTTAGTTGCCCCTTTTTGGCCGCTGTTCACTGTCATTTATATTTCCAGATTTGCCCTTAACATGTATGATAACCTAAAAAAGCATTGAAATTAGCAAGATGAGAAGAAAAAATAATCA